ATTGGTCCAGTCAGTTCTTGAATCTGTCCCCAAAAATACTGATTGTACGAAGAAGAAAACTTCATGGATCATTTGTTCAAAGAACTCAAATTTCATGAAATGTAGTCGAAAAATCTGCGTACCTTAAAAGTCTATCTAAAAGTCGGTTCCTTCTTCAGAGCTTGCTTTTTTGAGATCCTTTTAGAAGACGAAAAGTCCTACTTGTTACCGAGCCGCCTCTTTCCATCACTTTTCCACATAAACTTTGCCTAAACTTAGATTTTTAATGCGAACCTCTGAACGCAATGGTGGATTATAATCGACCAGAACGGGGTGTCAAACACAAACGGGAATAAATGTATGCTGTTGGAACAATTTTGGCTGAACTGAACTTGCGTGAACTTTTACCGGGTTCATAGTCAACAGTCAATGCGAAAAAGAAAATGTTAGCGAATGTGGCCAGTTTACGATCTGTGTAATACTACTGTAATGGTCATGACACTGATTACCATGGCTTGGTGAGGTCAGCAGCGGGACGATACCGCATGACAGTAATTCTGATTCTTTTTGGCGATTCCTGGGAGGTCACGTTGAACCTCTGCGGAATCGGCTCCCACCTCCTGTCTTTGTAAAATAAAACAGTTTGTTTGAACAGCAGTTTCTCGAAAGTGCGTCAGTCAATAAACTAAATCGAGAACTCAACTTTTTTCCCATGCTCTTTGAGTAGGAAAAGACGAGCTCCTACTAATCTTGTACCAGTTGTAACCCATTCGTCATCATTCTTAAACTACTCACTTCTTGACAACCGTCGACGGCACCCCCGAGGTCATGTGATGCAGCATTTATAAAGTTCACTCATAACCCCAATCACCCATTTTAGAGCTTGCCTCATTCACAAACAATTCGATTATTGGGCGCTTTTGTTCTGCTTTTTTCCTTCCATTATATTTCGTGCAATCGTGCTCAGATGGAGTGGGTTGGTTCCATTTCAAACGACCTCTCTGGCTTATCCTTGTGGAACCGTTTAAGCAGTCGCTTTCTCATATTCCCACACGATCTAATCGAGGTGTGCCATGTTTTACGGTTTCTGTTTGTTTTACCGTAACTATTTTTTCTAATTTTCTTTGACCAATGCAGTCTAAGCTGCCGCCTATGAGGCTATCAGTCACTTCACAGTTCTAGGTCCTGTGTTCATAGATTATATGTGATGTAATGGTAATGAATAAGAGAGCAGGAATATTCGAAANAACGACCTCTCTGGCTTATCCTTGTGGAACCGTTTAAGCAGTCGCTTTCTCATATTCCCACACGATCTAATCCAGGTGTGCCATGTTTTACGGTTCCTGTTTGTTTTACTGTAACTATTTTTTCTAATTTTCCTTGACGACCAATGCAGCCTAAGCTGCCGCTTATGAGGCTATCAGTCACTTTACAGTTCTAGGTCCTGTGATCATAGATTATATGTGATGTAATGGTAATGAATAAGAGAGCAGGAATATTCGAAACTTCTGGGCGATTTGTTCGACCGTATTGGCCGTTGTACATATGCGACCGTTTCTTTATTAGTTTGGGACGCAGTCAAGGGTTCAAATCGCTATTCGAGTTTCATTGGGAATTGAAAAAGCTCAATTCTACTCCCGTGCATACGATGGAGCTGCGTGACTTAGGTTATTTTGGGCTACTGTTTTGTCTTCTCACATGAGGCTCCATTATTGGGCTGAGTGAAAAACTGCGGATATTTCTTCGAGATTATTTACACCGGTCAACCACTTGATCGGAGAGGCGGAAATAGCAGGTGAACATGCGTAGCCATCGCCTCCATCACTATCGACAGTCCCCTTTTTTAACTTAAGTATTCTGGATTCATTAAGCTTGGTTGGCATTACAGAAATGCCCTTGGGGATGGTACATGTCCTTGTAGCATTCTTCTTTATTAGAGCATATGTCACATCTTCCACATGAATTCCTCACTATTATATGGCTACGAACAAGTAAAATGCCTAATTAGATGGAATGAATAGATATCTGACGATATCTGATGCGTGGCGTATCTTGAAGGCATTGTTCCACTGGAAAATCATGATTTTAAAGATTCAACATTAGAAAAAGAGACCGCCTCTTCCACTAGAATGACGCGCTTTTTTTCCGAATGCGATCAAGTTTCTACTACAGCTTTTTTGCTTTCGAACAATTGTTTAATGAAGAGAATTCAGCCTGGGACCGCACCTACAGTGTAAACTGTTTACTATCGTACTTCAGCAACGTTTTGTGTTCAAATCTCTTTGGTTCAATGGGCTGAAAGACAGTGCACGGCTTTAGAATAGTATGCTCACTTAACCTCTGAGTATAACTAATAAGAATATACAAGTGAGGCGAAGGTGGTGCAGTGGGAAGTTGCGCTCTATCACACGCATATGGTTACGGGTTCGAATCCCGTATCGACGTATACATACATATGAGGCCTGTACACTGAAATGCGGCGGCCAGCACGAGTAAAAGTGTGTGCTTTTATCTACCGGGCCAGTCTGAGGCCAGTTAGTCGAAGAGATGGAAAGCTCGATTTGCCTGGCAGATATCGATACTGGACTAGATTCCGGGTCCATGTGTGGGAACCTGCCCTGCTTACCACTGCACCATCTCCTGCCATGGGCCGCGACAATCCTGAAGTTCAAGATAGTATCAGAACTAGATATATCTTGATCGCTTCGTGGGAGGGAGGGGGTTGGAGGGGGTGACGATATATAGTAGAATCAGGGTACTCACATCCTAGTAGAGTTTACTTTGTTCATATCAGGTAATGAATAAAACGACCAAAAGGCTTCCTCTCGACGCAAGCGTAAGTAGGGTGTGGTTGCCGTTTCTTAATGAGCTGTCAAGAGTTGTTCGACACCAGCAAAGCTGACATTTCCTACTCTGACCTGCTTGAGGAACGGGGTATTTTTCACATCGCCACTTTTTTCGGTGCCGTGCCGCGCCGAAGACAGCGTAGGAAATGCGAATTGTACAACTACGACACAAAAAGGGTTGATTCTAATCAAATCTCGAAGGTAACAGGCAGTTCTTCCCATCAAAAAGAGTAAGGGAAACCCACTACCTCCTCCAAAGCAATGCGTGACCGATAAACTTGAACGAATGGCACGTGAGAAGCATGGATTTCGTTATGAAATTCTTGTGTGTTTGATTTATTTCTCTCTTAAAAATCTTCCCATCTGAATAGCAAGCTAAATGAAAGTCCCAGACGAGAAGTTCATTCAGTTGTGAGAATAAGATGATCCATGTTTATTCTGCTGCGTTACTCTTCTGTTCGTGATTGTGTTTGATCCGAAGTTCACATCATCTTCGGTCTTGACCTGGAGGGATCAGATTTGAAAGAGGTAAAAATAACAAGTAGACAAAGGTGTTAATGGTTGGTGGCAGAAAGTCTGAGAACTAAAAATAAGGAGAAGATGGATTGCACTGACAGGTTTGACGCTTGGATGTGTTCTATAGTCTTCAAGGGGTTGTTACATTTGAAGATCGTTGNAATGTAGTCAGCCAGGCGACACAGTCATTTCTCTTTTCCACACACAAAATGGAGCAATAACCAGATTGCCACTTTTTATCATAATCATTGAAAGTGTCATAAACGTCACTATTGTTCGCTTTTATATAGCGAACATATGGTAGTCCAAGAGGAGACTAGTGGGAAAGCCTGTGATTGTTCCGTGGAGACCATCAGTTTTTAGAATCTAAAAAGGTCATGCGAAAAAAGGTCTTGTGAAAAAATCAAGAGTAGCGCAGAAATCGTAGAGTTGGACATTCTTCCCACCTGTAGGTTTTTACGTTGTGCAAATATGTGAGTAGGAAGGAGTGTTCGGGCGACGGGTTTATTACTATGTTTGCGGTACCGTGAATTTATTCTACTACTTGCTTCAAATTTCGATAAAAGGTGGAGGAATAGTTTGTCTGTCGGAGTGAGTGGTCCATACTAGGCGATCAGGACGGCGCGTTGCCAGTGGAGGCTCATCGTCCCTTGCAGTGCACAACCTAGATTTTCTTCCGCGCGACAAAGTAACGAGATGCTTCCTCAGGCTCCACTGCATCTACCCAGATGATAGTAAACGGGCCAAGGCTTATATAGTTGGGTCTTCGAGATACAGCGTAGTAGCGAGCCAGTATGTTTATAAAGATCGAAGCGAAAAAACGAAATTCCTAGGATACTTTTCCGGAGTCTACCTTGGAGAACATCCAGGATCAACATAAAGGAGATGGAGGAGCTGTCTAGGTAAGCTGCTTTCGTTGATGTCACATACCAAATTCGTTACTCTACTTCTACTCCTCACCCATATCACTTTATCCGCCAAATTTTTAGTAAATGTTTTGTTTTTATTTATTATATATTTATTTATTTTTTTTATTTTTAGTAAATGTTCAACTATAAGCCTACTCACCGCAAACGGTTCTGGCTAGATTCTTCGTAGACAGACACTTCCGGATTACTGCAGAATTGTTAACAGGAGGCGTTACTCTCAAGGCCTCAAAGTGCAATAACCTTTTTCGTTTGAGAAGATGAATAACTTTTCTATAACCAACCAAGAGATGCCTTTTGAAGAACAGCCAGCCTCTCGTGCCCATTGATAGCGTGTTGCGTTTTTGTCAATACAACCTAACTCCCTTGCCTATCGTGTTCTGAAGAACTTTTGATCATTGAACAGATTATTGCCGCTCTCCGAATGTACCTCATTGTCACTGAGCCGAGAGTTTAATAATTGAGATACACGTGGTTCATGGTGATAAATTCAATTGATATAACGAGGAGCAGGTTGCGTGAACAGTTGGTCGATGACGACGACGTGATTTGCCATCGCGGCCAAAATCGCTTCCCTCTTCTCGTGCCGGTTTGTCGTCACTTGTCTGATCGCTATCACTTTCGAAATGTAACCGTGACAAGTAATTCCTGTTTTGTTGATCTCAAGATGGCCCCATACAAACATTTACACATTTGGTCTCTCAATAATTCATTGATCAAACGTTTAATCATAATGTTTATGGCAGTGAAGTTCATCGACTACCCTGCCCTCGGTCTGGTAGGTATTTGGGTGAAAATGATCGAGCGCCTTTCAAGTTTTTCGATTAAAATTCGCTGAAACTTCGCTTCTCTACTTCTCAGAGCCTTCTCAAAGAAAGTACATGGTTACGAAGGCTTTTTAGAATCAAAGGGAATAGGTGTTCGGGCATCACAACCAGTTTTATGCTCAGCCTTTTCTCATTGAACTCCGATGATCCCGAAGATGTGATTTTCTTTGAACTTTCTTCTGAGTTTATTTATTTATTACCAGTAAAGCGTTCGTGTCAATCGTACGTGGCTATCAAGATCTTTGAGATAAGATGCATGGATGCGTTCTCCTTGACACAATGATGTTTGAACATTCCAATAGTACCAAGGTTAAATTTATGATAGATATCGATGATTGGTCTTCTTTTGTACTGCTTTCTCACCATTACAGTGCTTACATGTGTTCCTCCAACAGAACTTCAGAATGCATCACATATTCCAGCTCTGCTGAAAGGGTAGACGAAATTTCCGTTGGTTGATGATTCTACATATAAGACTTTTGGCATTGAGCGGTCTCGCTGTGGGTGGCCCCTACACATTGCCCTTCCATCCAAGTTCGTGGTGATGTTTGATCATGCATATGGGTAATGGCTTGCTAGGGTCAGCCGATATAGTATAAGTTTGTGCTTTAATCCTCCCGGACAAGTGTGGTACCAACGGTACCAGCTAGCCGATTCCGAAGCGATGGAGAAACCTCGGGGCTAGCATCGACTTGAGATGCGATCCCTGAAGCACGAATATGCTCCCCTTGTACAACCTGCAAATACTCACCTACGTTTCGGATGCAAGATGCGTTACGAAGTGATTATTTTTGGCACACAAAAACACCATGTTATACGTCTTAAAGGACTGAACCTAACAAAAAAGGCTTCGCTCTCCTTTTTCCACTTCTTTTTTCTTTTTTTTTTGTCGAACAATGAAGGCGCATGTTGTATTCCGTGTTTACATTTTGCTTTATGATACAAACTCCACTACCTACCGGAAACTCGGTCAAAGCTGAGGACCGGTAAGGATCAGATTGAGAGAGTAAGAGAAGCTTGTTATGGCTGTTCAGAAATTTCTAAGTGTTGTACACCTCTTTTCGCCAAATTCAAGCCATTGCTTTGGCTTCACGACATCATCAATTAACTATTGCCATCCGACTTCCTCGCAGCTTGTCGAATCGCTTTCTACCCGAGATCATCCAGGGTTTGCCACCCTTTTCATGACTTATGCTCTTGCCATTTTTTATTTTCTTCTCTGGACTGTACTATCGCCTTCTACCATTGGAAACATACGGCCACTTGTGGTTTCCTCAATTCCTCTATTTCCGTCACCCCATCTCCCGAGACATGACCCTTTTTGTTTGGATGTTTTCCGAGCAACTATACCATGCCTTACCTTCCGCTCTTGTATGGCTCTCAATCTTTTCTACATATTTGTATACCCTCACTCATATAGTTCCCATACTGACCTTTTCAAGTCTTTTTACTCACCCACAAGATTTCAATCTGCTCTCTCTGTCTTCTTGTCCTGTCTTCCTACTTCATTGTTGTCTTTCTGCCTATGGCTCTATTTCTCGTTTTGCCCCAGTTCCTGTGGCATGCCTCCAAAACCTGTTTCTCCCAAGCCCTTCATGTTATACTTTTCCTCATGACAGTTCCTAGATGTGTCTTCTTTGTTCTTATGTATAGCTTTAGAAGAGAAAAACAATCTCATAATCTCGGTGAAGCTACGATTTGCAACAGCTTCTACGTAGAGGGGCAAACGACCGGTACTTGTTGGTATTTTGATGTTTTTTAAGTCTGAAGTTTACCACTTTTCATGCCCTCCTTTTCTTTATGCTACGCTTTACATCGGTTGTGAATAGGTGTATAATAAAATAAACATGGTTATAAATAACATTAGTGCCACTTTTCTTTTTTCCGTTATCCCGTTAATCTTTGCGGAACTTCGTTGAACTAAAACTTGTTGTATCTCAGTTCTCTTTGTTGCCCATCCTTCAGGCCCATTTCGGTCCTCCGTTCCTTAACGCATGTTTTCGTCTTTGCCAATTGCTTCTTCTCACAATCCAAATTTTATTGGTATAGAATGGTATGGTTTGCTATTGAGGCCTTTTAGCGTCAACTACTTCATATCAGTAAGAAGGTGGAACAGTTTCAGAAACGAAAGCCGTGAAAGGAGAAGGTAAAGCCCCATCTGAAGCCATAGGGCCAGTCGCCCATCACAGTCTTCTGCCACTTTCTTCACCTCAACTGGTTGAGACATCAGAATTGACTTTTTAGTATCAGCAAAATCTGAGACCAAGATGGAATTTTTCTCGATAGGGCGGTTTTTTTTACTTCCTTCAACTATTTGTTATGTTGTGAAGGGGGGTTCTCCCCCAATCACAACATACCTGTTCCTTCTTAATGCCTGTTTCGGCACGATTTGCAATTTTTAAGAGTTAATGGATAGTCCTCTTTTCATAACCGCTGGGTTATCCCTGCCAAGGGTTCTATTATCAGAAGTGGAAACGTATCCAGTAACCTTACCTAATAAAGTACCGAACATTCATTTGTGGGAAGCTGCTTTGACGCAGATCATAGGCTTCTGCAAACTGACTCATAAAATATTGACTCATACGTTTGATGCCACAAAACATCCCAATTGTCGTAAATTTCGCTGTGCTTTTCCTCTTTTTTGCTTATTCTAAATGATTTGGAGCTGTCAGCAGACATCACTAATTACTAAATGGACTCACTTGCTACATTTAATGAAGTCTATCAAACTTGTAAGACACCAGTCGAGTTTTTCTGTCTCTTTCTTCACTCTGATAGAGCGATACCCTTGAACTCTTCGATTCCAGTTTTTTGATTCATTCGTGAAATTATCGTCGAACTAGAAATCGAGAACCACTTCTTGACTAATTAATTAAAAATTTCAGGGTTGAATGTGGTTGTGGTTGGCTGTACTGAGTCCATTATGCTTTGGTGCACCCCGTACATCCAAACCATGCGGTGAAGATGTTTCATCGAAGGATGCTTTAAATACACCTGGCTATAAAGTCGCATCAGAAATGCTTTTAAAATCCATGAATTTTTCGGTGAGTCAAGCAATTATTTTACCTAATAGTGAACATCAAAAAATCAACAAAATTAAACCTCAAAAAATCCACAAAGAATGTCCTGATCTGAAGAACGTGCGATCACTTTTGTCCGTCTGCGTACTCATACGGTAAACAACCCCTCTTTGATTGAGGCATCTATCCGGACCATGGCGTAGAAATCCTTCAAAGGGCTCCCAAGATTTCCAAGCCATACTGAATGGTGAATAGGAAGGTAGACAAAGTGATCATAAGTTTCTCTTCTCAACGATGACCCTTAGGCGCAATGGCAGCGGTAAGGGAGGCTATTCCCAAAACGTACCTCTTAGCGTCGGGAGCTACTTATTCAGGATTGGCACGGGTAGTGTGTTACCATCCCTTTGCCCACCTCGATAACCATACCTTTTCATCTCTCTTACTTTGAGGTTAATGGTAATGTTACTAGTTCTCATCATACTTGTATTACCGCTGACCATCAGAATATTACAACCTTCCAACCTTTACTGAAGATAAGACAAGGTCTCATTCATAGCCCCTGCCATGCTTCTTATTTTTGATCATTCACTTCCGCTCCATATGAAAGTGCGAATAACCTTAATTTACTAGTATAAATGGGTGACCCGCTCACAGTGACCTTGGTCGTTAATGTCATTTTTCCCTACCTTATTCACCATGTGACACTCACGAATGTATTTTTCCTCTTCTTATATCATCGTATTGACTTTATCGTTTTACCAAGGGAAAGTGTCAATGATACACTTCAAAATGAGTGTCCTCTAAAAGTCAAAGCGTGACCGATTCGCCCTTTTATGATCGTCGTTATCGGAAACATTGCCTCTATAAATAATCACCTTCGAATGGATGAATAATTGGGGAGAACCGAGACCATCGCTTTCCCCAACCGCAGTTCCGGAGTTTTTTTTT